CCGACCGCGGCGCGCTGCCCCTGCCTGCCTGCGCGTGCCGCGTTGCATCCCAGGGAGGAGGAGGGGGTGGAGGAGGAGGAGGAATCTGGAGGAGGAGGATCAGGAGGCGGAGGATCAGGAGGAGGAGGAGGAGGAGGAGGAGGAGGAGGGGGAGGAGGAGGGGGAGGAGGGCGTTGCATCCCAGGGAAAAAATTCAGCAACACTCCCCACTCCCCCCGCAATTCAAAGTCGGCACGTATACGCATCACTGGCCCGACACTCAAACTCGGGAGATCCGAGCCCAACATTGCATTCGGGGGGAGGGGGGGAGTTCACACCATATGTTATGCGTGAGTGTTGCTTAATTGTTTCCGACACCTGGGTGTTTCTGCGATTTTGAGGACCGTTTTCGTTCCGATGCCGTTTTGCAACAAAGGCGGGACGAAGACAAAACGAGGGGACACGAAAACAACACGAAAACAGAGAACACCGCTGAGGTCGAGCCCTGTTGCATCCACGACGCCTCACCGCGTGACACCGCCCGCCCACCTCTGCTGGAGAGCAATCCGCTCGTGGGGCACCCCAGAGGGTCGGAGCATCCCCAGGAGGCCCCCTGCCTTGCGACTGAGGCGGCCCCTGATCGCGGTAAGCGGCAGGCGCTCTCCTTGGGCCCCGGGGTCCCCGGAAGGCTTGCAGGAGCCTCTCGGAGGCGCTCCATGGCCTTCAGGGGTTCGCAGGGAGCCCGCAGGAAGCACCCACGGGCCCTCAGGGGCCTCCGTGGTTTCCAGGGGGTCTTTGCAGGGCTTTCTCTGGGACCACCGGGCGTGGCGGGTGGTAGTCTTCTCCTTCGGCTGCCTCGGCGGCTTCACAGATGCCTCAAGATACGTGCATGCCGCAAGATGCCACTGCAATGCCCCAAGATGCACTCAAGAGGGCCCAATATGTCCCCGCATAAGTTCCTGATCAACCGTAGAGGCGGACTAGTATTCACGGTCACCTTCGGTTCGGCCCCAAACAGGTAATTTGGATTACGATTGCTCATGTCGCAATTTGCTGCCGTCACCTGAGGTATAGTCACCTCGCGGGTAATGCGGCATTGCAAGGTCCAGTTCGATCCGGTCTGTCCGATGCAAGATCGTATCGTTTTCGGCCGTCTCGATCCGACGATTCGGCTTACAATCAGTTCCGGCAAGTCCATTGGATTGGCAACCCATGAGCAGACAATCCCTGAGATGTGCATACTTTCATCAAGGGAGAGAAAACCACGCCGACCCCTTTCATTCGCGTTTACGAGACGGCCCTGGGCGTTTACTAATCCGCCCTGCCATGCTCGATTCCTTCCTTGGGTGCGTTTACTATACGACTTTGTTTGTCGGGATGCTTAGAGCCTATTTTTTATTTTCCAGCATAGTGGCCGTCACCAGCTCCGCTCCCTCCCCTCCCCCAGATGACGTCACTTTCCGCGCCAGCGGCGTCCGGGAATGCCTAGGGATAGATGGCGATTTGCACCATAACGCCTGTGTACACCACAGTGCTCGCGTGCACCACAGCGCGCGTGTACACCACAGCGCCTGTGTACACCGCAATAGCCGTGTGCAGCGCAGCGCCAGAGTACATCACAATGCTTGCGTGCACCACGGTGCCTGTGTACACCACCGCGAATGTGTACACCGCAGCAACCATGTGTAACAGCGCCTGTGTACACCACGATGCTCGCGTGCACCGCAGCGCCTGTGCACACCACAGCGCCTGCGTACACCACGGCATCCGCGAGCAACGCAGCGCTGGTGTACACCACAGTGCCTGCGTGCACAGGACGGGTAGAAGGAGCATGTAGGTGAGGATCTGCTGCGGACAGCTGAACACCACGCAAGGGAAGTTCTGATAATAGACTGCGATGTTCTTCTCTCCCTCCTCCTGCTCCTCCTCCTCCTCGTCCTCCTCCTCCTCGTCCTCCTTCTCGTCCTCCTCCTCCTCCTTTCCCCCCGTCGCGCGGGTCGGCGCTACAGCGCACGTGCGCATCTCAGTGTGCACCGCAGAATGGTTTTGAATCAATCCAGTTGGTTCCCGGACGGCCAATTCTGCGGGATCCTTTTGGACGCAGATGGGAGGATTGAGGATGATGCGGGAGGACTCGGGAGAACTCGTATATTCCAGCGGCGCTCTCTCTTCCATAAGGATTCTTATCCAAGTCCTATATAAAACAATTGTTTCCCGTTGAATTCACAAACGCTCCATTTTCTTAAAAGGATTCTTTCTAACATTCTGTATGCAACAATGGTGATATGTTGGACACGGTTGCCGTGGTGCACACTGGTGCCGTGGTGTACGCAGGCGCTGTGGTGCACGCAGGCACTGTGGTGTACACTGGTGCTGTGTTGCAAACGGCCGCTGTGGTGTACGCAGGCGTTGTGGTGTACACGCGCGCTGTGGTGTATGCAAGCACTGTGGTGCACTCTGGCGCTGTGTTGCGCTCGGATGCTGTGATGTACATCGGCGGGGTGGTGTACACTGGCGCTGTGGTGCACGCTGGCACTGTGGTGTACAGAGGCGCTGCGGTGCAGATCGCCACCTACAGCTGCTGCTACCCGAGGACGGTAGGCATTCCCAGACGCCGCCGGCGCGAAACGTGACGTCATCGGCCCCCTCCCCCTCCAGGTGACGGCCGTCATCACCCCGGAATAAACAAAACAGGGTCTTATTGTGAGTGTGTGTTCTTCTGCTCCCTACATAAAACAGGCACATCTTTCAGCCGCTCTGCCCTCTTTCGCGGCCCCTGATGCCTCCGGAGCTCTTACCAAGGGAGCCTGAGCTTCCAGAGCGCGACGGAGCTGCGGGAGGGCTCGGCGGGAAGGAAGCAGGGCTCTCCGCCGTGGGAAGCCACTTTTTCCTGAAGCCCCAATCTCCTTTGGGTGGAAACCGTCGGGGAAGCCTCCCTTTGAGCCTCGCGTGAAGACGGCGAGTCAGATTCGGAGGCCTCTGATTTCGGCTGAGATCATGGATCGCTTGGCTTTAGGCCCGTCCCCAACATGTGCCAGGCCAAGTCTGCAGCAGCAGTGATGCATCGGCACTCAAGCGCGTCGCCCCCTGTCTGCCACTGAGCGGCGGCCGTTGCCACCTGCGCGATCGGCCCCGGGTGTTTCCGCAATGATCTCGTCTTCGGGCCGCCAGCCAGCACAGCAGGGCACCCGCGCGCTCACGCGCGCTCTGGATAGCGATCTGTGCAGGCAGGTCCAAGGACCGAAGGCTGGGACGAGGTTGTGTTTGTGTGTATATGCGTAGGTGTGTATGTACGTACTGATTTTTGCATGTTCGTGGTGTGTGTGTGTGTGTGATCTTCTCCGCCCTGTCGCTGCGCGCAGGGCCGCGACGCAAAAAAGCGTGTGCGTCCGTGCGTGCGTGCGTGCGTGTGTATGTGTGTGTCTGTAGGTGTGCGTAGTTGGACCCTCTACCAGGCTTGCCTGGGCAGGCACCTACCCTGCTTCCTGGCCTGCCGGCTCACCGCCTCTCTGTCTTTCCTCACCGGGTCGTTTCACAAGGCTTGCTTTGAGGAGGCACCCCTTTTTCCCCTGTGGCTCGGCACCCTTTCTGGCAGGCTGGGAGCACGGCGTTTCACCGCCTCTCTGCTGCTTCTCCACCTCCGGTGCACCCGTCGCCGTTGGCTGCGCGCGCCTCGGCCGCAGGGCTGCAAGCGCGGCGTCTCCCTCAGTGGGTTTCGGTCGCCCGGTGCCGCCATCTGCGTTGGCCGACGCATCAGTACCATTCACGGGGCCGCTGAAGCGAAAAACGGAAGTATTCTTGTGTGTTCGTGCTCGTGTGCGAGTGTGCGTGTGTGTGCCTGTGCGCGTGTGAATGTGTGTGTGTGTGTGTGCGTATGTATAAAAGAGCGTGTTCTACCGCTGCTGGCGAAAAACCGGGGGGGGTCACTGGGGGTTCCCAAGCCGTCCCCCCCCCTCGAAAACCGGGGGTGGTGGTCACTACCAGTTCGAACCCCTTCCCCCCCCCCGTCCATCATGAAAAGGGGTGGGGGGTACTACCGGTTCGACCCCCCCCCCCTCGAAAACCGGGGAGGGTCAATACAGGTTCGAACCCCCCCCCTCGAAAACCAGGGGGGGTCACTACCGGTTCGAACCCCCCCAGCCTCCCTCGCCGCCGGCAAACGATTCCCGCTCCTCGGGACAGTTGGACAGGACAGTGGGGGATGCTGGGACAGTGGTGGGAGCGGCGGTGGTGGGGACAGTGGTGAGGGGACAGTGGGACAGTTGTGCGGACAGTGGTGGGGACGGTGGTGGTGGGGACAGTGGTGAGGGGACAACGGGACAGTGGTGGGGACAGTGGGACAGTGGTGGGGACGGTAGTGGTGGGGACAGTGGTGAAGGCGGTGGTGAGGACAGTGGTGGGACAGTAGTACAGTGGGTAAGGTGGCGGGGACAGTGGGACAGTGATGGGGACAGTGCGGACGGTGGGACAGCACAGTGGGACAGCGGCGGGGACAGTGGGACAGTGGTGGGTACAGTGGGGACAGTGGGACAGAGGTGGGGACCGTGGGGAAAGTGGGGAGAGTTGGACCGTAGTGGGACAATGGTGGGGATAGTGGGGACAGTGAGACACTGGTGGGGGCACTGGTGGGGACAGCGGGGACAATGGTGGGAAAAGTGGGGACAGTGGGGACAGTGGTGGGGACGGTGGTGGTGGGGACAGTGGTGTGGGGACAGTGGGAACGTGGTCGAAACAGTGGGACAGTGGAGGGTGCAGTGGTGGTGGGGGCAGTGGTGAGAGCGGTGGCGAGGACAGCGGTGGGATAATGGGACAGAGGTACAGTGGGGACAGTGGTGGGGACAGTGGGGACAATGGTGGGAACAATGGGACAGCTCAGTGGGACAGCGGCGGGGACAGTGGGACAGTGGGGACAGTGGGACAGTGGTTGGGGCCGTGGAGAAAGTGGGGAGAGTGGAATCGTGGTGGGAACAGTGGTGGGGACAGTGGGGACAGCGCCACAGTGGTGGGGGCACTGGTGGGGA